CTGTCCATGAAACTATTTGTCAAGTTATACCAACCCATCGAGCGCGGCCTCGTCAATGACTTTGAACGGCTGGAGACCATCTACATGGAACAGATTAACAACCGGCTCAAAGTCGACCCAAAGGAACACCCAATTCTTGTGACTGAAATGCCGTTGAACCCAAAGAAAACCAGGTGTGTTTTAAATGTAGGTGTTTTTTACGCCCTCATCGACACTATTTGTGAGGCAGCGTGGTGGAATCAGGCTCTCGTCAATTTTTGGGCATGTAAAGCTATTGGTATCATCTTAAAGCTTGTTCACTTGTCTTTATTTGGATGCAAAAAATATCCTTTTATCTTGAATACAAGTCGAGATATTTGCAAAAGAAGGAGGTGGGAGTCACCTGTTTTCAGAGGTAGAATTAGAGAGAAAATGGCCGCCAAAGATTAGTTATTTCCTTAACTTAAGAGTCCGTGGTAACTGAAGATTTACATTTTTTATGCCTTTAATCAACGCTTTTCAGAAAAATTCACACAGAAATGAGTTCTTTAATGGGCGTGAAAGATGCGTACGATGGCGAATCACTTGCTGACCGTTACTCTAAAGACCCCGATTTCAGAAGTTACATATTATCTCCTACCAGCTGTTACAACAACCAGTAGGTCTACTACATACAGTGTAATTCTATTCCACAGAGAGAGAATGATCCAGATAATGTTTGAGACGTTCGAAACCCCAGCAGCGTACCTCGCCAACCAGGCCGTGCTCTCTTTGTACACAACAGGAAAGACCATTGGTTAGTTTGTTCGCCTTTCTTTCTTCATTTCTTACCTTCTTTCATTCTTTCTTCGTTTTGTTTTTGTTTATTTGTTTATTTGCGTGTATGTTTATACTTATGGGTTTTGTTTCTTTTGTTTCTTTCTTTTGTTGTCTGTCTGTCTGTTTATCTGTCTATCTATCTGTCTGTCTGTCTGTCTGCTTGTCTGTCTGTCCGTCTGTCTGTCTGTCTTAAGATCGTTTAGGAGGCAGACTCCCGACCCTACCTGCAAGGGCCAATCCGATCAGAGAGGGATACAACAACCTAGTAGAAAGGCCAAGATACCCGATACAGATTTTCTGATCTCCAGACTCGGGAATTGAACTCGGTTCTCTTGCGTGTGACGACGAAGCCCGCTACACCACAGACACTGGTTGTTGTAGCTCTAAATTTTTCATTACATCCCATAATCACCATCACCATAGTTGGCTGTGGCGTAAGCACACATATTTCAAACTATATTGCGAGCTCCTCGTTCAGGTTCATATCGAAGAAGAAGAAGAAGAAGAAGAAGAAGAAGAAGAAGAAGAAGAAGAAGAAGAAGAAGAAGAAGAAGAAGAAGAAGAAGAAGGAGGAGGAGGAGGAGGAGGAGGAGGAGGAGGAGGAGGAGGAGGAGGAGGAGGAGGAGGAGGAGGAGGAGAAGGAGGAGGAGGAGGAGAAGGCGGGGATGTGAAGACTATGAATAGGGCTTGTCGCCGAATTAACGAGCAGCGCTTCAGCTTTAAATTTACTTGCCGATAACCTATCCGCCTTCAACATAACGTTTACGAGATCTATCCATCTCAGGCTGCATTCTTCGACATTTCAACTGGTCCTGTCTAGGAAAAAATCCCCACACTGGCGTCCCTGAATTCAGGACCCCCCCCCCCCCCCCCGACATACTGCATGCAATTTTCCAGTGTCTTCTTGCAGTTCTGAATTCAAGTTTCAAAGTCATGCAAAGTTCTCAAAGTTTTTTTCGGGCTTCTCAAGCCTTCACACTATAAACGTTTCGACATATAAACACACTTGGAGTTTGCTTCAGTCTCTACTAAATCATCTTTTGAAATACATTGCTATCCCCTTGCTCTCAACTACAGGAAAGTCACTTGTCTGGTAATTTGGACTACGAAGAATACAGGCAAACACCCTCCTCATTTTGCCTTTTGATTTTGGCTTGTACTATCCTCTTTCTTCAGGGTGAATATTGACGATCGTGGGTTTACTTTTTGGAAAATTGCTCAGGTCAACATTATGAAATTGAATTTTAAACAAATACATGTGAGCTAATTCAGGACATGAGTGTCAACGAAATACTGGTTGCCGAAATATCAAGGCTGAGACCGTTTAATCAGCATAAATATAACGGATCGGTGGGTCATAATGTTGTATTTTGTGTCTTTTTTAACATTCAGAAATCGACTTTGGACGAAATAGTTCTCGAGCTAAAAACAACCCGTTCCAACGAAAGATTAAGAAACTGCAATCCAAACTGTTGATCAAAGTTTTAGGAATAGAACGGTGGCTCTCGTGGCCTAGAGGTTAAGGTGGTCGCCTCTCATTCAAAGGTTCTTGGTTCAAATCCCGGTAGCGACGGACATTTTTCCCCTCTAAAATTGTCTCCTTTCACCTCCTTTCCTGCTCCCCAGTAACGTTCTGCCGTCTGCTTTCGTCTCCACCTTCTGCCCCCCCAACCCTTTCACCTCCTTTGCCCCCTCCTCTGTTGTCCTGACTCTTTCTCCAGCCTTTCTACTGCTACTCCTTAGGTCGGTCCCAGAGTGGCTCTGTAGGTCTGACCTGTAGCTGGCCTGGCGCACGTCGTGTGCGTGTCAGCACAGCCGCACTGTGTTGACGTGTGTAGGTGTGCAACTGACGGGCCTGCCTTGCTATTCCAAGAACAGTTATACCAAGACGGGACAACTCTTCTTTACGTCATGTGCCAAGTGTAGCCCCCCCTCCCCCAACACACTTGCAGCTGCGCGCGGCGATAGTTTACATTGGTTACAATGCAAGGCTAGAGAAGCACACCTAGAACTAGGCCTAAGCCGACGACAACAGTCGAAACTAGGTCAACCTCTCGATTCGAAGTTTCAAAGTATAATAAAGTGCATTTCTTGGTGATTTTGTGGCCAAGTGTTGATGCTAGCATCAATATTTAATAGTAAAGCACCTAATAATATTTACTTCTTGTTGATTTTGATGATCTGTGAAGGGTTTCAGTCGAAAAAAAACACGAAGCGAGGCGACACATGTCCACCATTTTACAACACTGTTGAATAGCGCGTCTGACGCATCGCGCAGCTCAGCTGACAAAAAACAGACGACACAGCGACGCTGCTTAAGCACACGATACTGTATACTTTCATTTGCACGGGGCGAGCCAGGCGACCTACAGGTCAGACCTACATTGCCACTCTGGGACCGGCGTTAGGCTTCTTCTCACTGCTGTTTTTCAGCCACACCCCTGATCTTCTGGTAAGAAAGATCTACACATCGCCTTCTCGGACAAGGACGAAAAATCTCGGAGGTCCCGTGTGCAAGTTGCGCACGTGAAAGATCCCTTGATGGTCTAAAATCAATTAGAGTAGGATTCGGCCGCCACCAGAGCAAAATTAAACATTTCCTACCAACTGAAAATATTTAATGTGTCCCGCGCCCTCATATTATGACCGCATGCACTTGCGAGCGCCGTAAAACACTTACCCCCCCCAAAAAAGATTTAAAAAAAATATTAGAACCTTTCAACAACTGGTTGACGGTATGCACTTTCTGCTTTTGCACGGCGCACATTCCTTTCACGCATAACATACTGCTTGTTTAACCACAGAATCAGTTTCATCACAGTTGTTACCTTTGTGGTCCAGTTGATTCACTTTAAAACATATGTGCGGTGCTGCTTCAACGCTGTTCAGAACCAATGTTGTCCTCTATGAAAAATTGACTTTATAAAAAAGAATCTTTTATTTCTCGAGATCGTCTCTTTGTGCGTAATAAGACATGTGCATTCCAAACTGCAGCGACTCATTCTTTTTCCGAATAGAGCGACAACATTCTTGTGGCACTAACGTTTTCTTTAAGATAAAAGTTGTCTGGGTTGTGTCTGCTTGAGTAACGTGAGTGTCTTAAAAAAAAGAAGGATTCATTGCGACATTTCACTTATTTGGTTGGTTGCCGTGACACCTCCCATCAGTTGGGAATGTCGTAGATGCTGAATTTCTGACAGTTTAAAATCTTTTTATTTCAAAGGCAAAAATTTTTTAAAAAATGTATGGAACAGAATTCTCTTTTACAAACACTCACTCCTACACCATTTGAAGATTTGACGTAATACATAAAGGATGCCCCCTGTTGCTTTGGTTCTTCTTTTCTTGCCCTTCTTCTATGCTGACTTGGTCATACTTGGTGCCTCCAAAAAGATAATATGTATCTTGGAAAGCTTTGTCTCCTAGTTCGTAAATCTTTGCCAAAAGAGTGTCTATTTGAATTTGTACTAATATTTCCAAAGATTATTGCTAGCTACTGTTATCTCCTATTCCCAGGCCAGGAAAACCCTTTATCAATGTTGGACTCGTGTGTTGTTTGCTCCTTGAAATACCGTTCTTCTTTATATCTTCTTCCATTATTCGACATTCTCTTCTTTTCCTTAACTATTTAACCTTCTCTTTTATCGCCCGGTTGAGAGTCTTTTCCACCTAGTTGAAGTTGTCAGAGAGCAGGTGGCCATCTTGGTTTTATGTGAAGAAGAGAATACCGTGATTTAGAAAATGGGTGCACGAGTCTGTTTTCAGGCTTGTAGCTCGTTTCTACAAGAGACACTGTGAACGAAGACATCAAATATAATATTATATATATCATACCACTTTTGTAATCCGGATTTTTCTGAGCAGATCAACATAATTTTGTTCCAGGTACCGTGCTGGACTCTGGTGATGGAGTGACCCACAGTGTCCCTGTCTACGAAGGACACGCTGTCTCGGACGCCATCACGAGACTGGACCTGGCAGGTCGTGACCTCACTGATTACCTGGCCAAGGTCCTGAGAGAGAGAGGCTACAGCTTCCCCACAGGCGAGGAGAGAAAGATTGTCAGGGATATAAAAGAAAAGCTTTGTTACGTGGCTCTTGACTTTAACACTGAACTGAGGTCAGCATCCACTTCGTCCGCGATTGAGAAAAGTTATGAACTTCCAGATGGCCAAGTTATCACTATTGGTAATGAATGCTTCCGCTGCCCCGAATCTTTGTTCCAGCCAGGTTTACTTGGGATGGAGACACCGGGAATACACCAAGCCACCTACAACTCCATTATAAAGTGCGATGTCGACATCCGGTTTAACCTGTACACCGACATGGTAATGTGCGGTGGCTCCACAATGTACCCAGGTTTTGCTGACAGGATGTTCAAGGAGATGAGGGCTTTGGCTCCGCCCTCAATGAAACTCAAGGTGCTTACTTTCCCTGAGCGGAAAAATCTTTCATTCAAAGGAGGCTCCATGTTTGCTTCCATGTCAACCTTCAAAGATTTTTGTGTCCTCAAAGAGGACTTCTACGAAATCGGTTGTGACGTGCTACAGAGAAAGGGCATTTAATTCCCTTCAATTTTTATTTTGAATTGAATGGTGCACTTTTGTCTAGATTCTTGTTCTTCACAACTTTATTAATAATGACCGTGACATACAGGGAGAAAACACCCATTCATTCCTGTCTACATATTATACATCCTAGAGAGTTCCCCAGTTCTATTTCATACATTTAGTATCAGTTTTGCGATTCTCCGTCACACACATGTATTGTTTTTTCTTGTTTTTTCCCCGTGTCTTGTTGATGTAATAACCCACCTTGGGGTGCTTGCCTGGATTCTTTAAGAGTGTTTGCGTGCCCGATATACGTTCTTGTATGCCCGACTGTCGCCTGTTTCCTGGAAAATGATTTCCGTGCAAAATAATACTTTTAGAATTTCATTTTCATAAAAACTAAAGGATAACTTATATTCAGTATAAAAGTATTTCATTTCAAAGACATCGAATTCCAGTGTGTTCACGATGTGGTAGGCCTTAGTCTATTAGTACTGGTTGGCTCTCTCGCTGTTGACATTACCCTAACCCAATAGAGTAAAATAGAGGTTCACTAAGGTATCAACATTATATTCGTTCAACAATGACAGTAATCCAGTGAAATTATGTTTGTGTGTGTGTGTGTGTGTGTGTGTG